GAAGGCACCTCCCGGCTGGTTCTGAACACAATGTGACCAGACGGGCTATTAGGCGTGAACTAAAGCGGAGCCTACGTGCTGACAAGGAAGCCTGGTGGACCAGTCGGGCTCAAGAAATGGAGGAGGCAGGAGCAGTAGGCAATTACCGGAAGCGCTTCCAGCTAATCCGCACCACTGGTCCGAGAAAACCAGGCGTCAGTGAGACAATCAGGGACAGCGCGGGTGCGCTGATACACAATAAGGAGCGCCGTATGGCTCGTTGGGCTGAGCACTTTGAACATCAGTTCAGCTGGCCCCCTGCTCCCGGACCTCTTCCTACTCAGGTGATGCAGGACGAGCCATGGACGGTTAGTTTAGAGCCTCCGTCGGAGGCCGAGGTCCGAAACGTGATCACAGCCCTCAATCGTTTTCGTGCCGCTGGCCCGGATTCCCTCCCACCTGCACTATTTAAGGATGGAGGTGAGGTCCTCTGCAAAGCACTGACCTCCCTATTCGAACGTATTTGGAACGAAGAGAGTGTGCCGGCTAATTGGAGCGAATCGATTATAGTGGCAATATACAAGAAGGGCAGTCGCACAGACTGTTGTAACCACAGGGGTATTAGCCTAACACCAGTTGTGACAAAATTACTGGCCTCGATTATCGTACGTCGCCTCACTGCAGAACGGGAATCTCGGATTAGAGAAGAGCAGGCCGGTTTTCGCCCAGGACGTGGCTGTATAGACCATATATTTACTTTGCGACAGGTGCTAGAGCAGCGTCACGCATACCGCAGACCGACAATAGCTGTGTTCCTCGATTTCAAGAGTGCGTTCGATTCAGTCGATCGATCGATTCTGTTCGAAATACTTGCGCGGAAAGGTGTTCCCACGAAATATGTGAACATCCTTCGTGCTCTATACTCGAACACTAGAGGCCGCGTCAGGGTCTATGGTGCCCTATCGGATAGCTTTTCGACTACAAGTGGCGTTCGACAGGGTTGCCCGATTTCCCCATTTTTGTTCAATTTCGTCGTGGATTCTATCATGGAGTGTTCCCTTGCGGAATCTCACGATGTAGGTGTTGAAGTGCTGCCTGGTGAACGGTTAGTTGATCTAGATTATGCGGACGATATCGTCTTGCTTTTCGACAATGTTGAGGCGGCACAATCAACCCTGAATAGCCTATCCAGAGTGGTCCCATTATTTGGCATGCACTTCGCACCTTCAAAGTGCAAAGTGTTGCTGCAGGACCACCAGCCACTTGATGACCCCTTGACGCTTGCTAACGAGGAACTCGAGGTGGTTGCTCAATTCACTTATCTTGGCAGCTGCATCAGCAATGATGGGCGCATAGAAACTGACGTGAGCTCACGCATTGCAAAGGCCAGAGCTGCCTTCTTGAACCTGCGTCATCTTTGGCGACAGAAGGGAGTTTCCCTCCGTCTGAAAGGCCGTGTATACAAGGCCACAGTGAGGGCTGTTCTGCTGTATGGTAGTGAGACTTGGCCCCTTCGGTCTGGAGATCTGAGGCGCCTTCAAGTCTTTGATCATCGTTGTTTGCGAAGCATTGCTGGTGTCGGATGGCACCAGCGTGTCCGCAACGATGATGTGCGTAGGCGAGTACTAGCTGGTGATGATCATGCTAGCTCCCTAGAACAACAGATAGCACTGAATAAGTTACGCTGGCTCGGGCACGTGCTACGCATGCCTGTTCACCGCTTACCTAGGAGGGCCTTGTTCAGTCTACCAGGTGTCGGATGGCGCAAGGCTCGAGGTGGACAGAAGTTGACTTGGCAGCGGGAAATGAAGTCACTGACGACCAAACTGGGTGCCGTTGGTCCGTCTCGCCTTCCGGGTTGGAGTCCACGTGACTCACCTTGTGCTTGGCTCGAGACTTTACAGGATATGGCTCGCAACCGACACCAGTGGCGCGTGTGCTGCCGTCTCCTAATCGGATTGTCTGTTTAAAGTGTGTTTGGTGCTGAGTTATCTGCGGGGTAATGGCTGATTATGACGCGTGGCAGTGAAAGACGCAAGGAAGCTGTCTCGCCGATGCCGCCTTATCTTTGCACGATAGCCAGCTGTTTGTGACGGTATGTTGTTAACACAAGGTGTAGGCGCCTTGACCCTGAATGTTTGCTTAGGGCATTAAGGTTTTCAGGTAAGTCCCCCTTCTCTCCCTCTTATTCTTTATTTCATAGGTCCTCATGGTTGTATGGCAGCGAAGCATCAGTTCAAATGGCTGATGTACTGCTGTTAATGATGATGATGATGATGATGAATCATTTACAAAGTTTACGACCACCTGGATCAGGGCATCCCACTTCACATATTACGGAGTTATGGAATCAAGGATCTTGTCTGGTTTACCTGCGTCATCAGTCGGTGAGCGTGCACACCTTTCAGACGCCATAGCAGGAGCGTAACATTGGGATACTGGTTAATGACGATCTCGGTTGCTCAAACCAACTAGATGCACCGATAACCGGTAACCAATAAGTCGGCCTTCTTCGGAGTGTTCGATTGGTTTAGCCCATCACTTTGCTTAATACCTATGTGCGACGGCGCGTGGAATAAGCTATCCAGGCGTGACACCAGTAGCAAAAACAAGAGCTTACTGCTCTCGGGACTCCTCAACAAAGGGCATCCAAGTATGTTACGGGGCCACTTCAATCTCCCAAAACAGCTTAGATTGAAGTGCCTAAAATGTACCGCAGTCGATACTGGCACATGCGGGGTGACTTCATAACGGTTAATCGGATCCTGAAGAACCCAAATCACATTCACCACCAGCTACTGGAACTGAAGCAAAATATCAACCGGTGAGATCAGTTGAAGCTGGAAATAGAGCGTAGTCGGCTGGAATGTCGTCAGGATTACTTTTTCCTTGGGGCCAATCAGTGGGGAATCACCCACCCAACTTATGTTGTTTCTGCCCCAAACTAACGACATTTAAAAAGCGACTTGACGAAGCATTAGCCATTTCGCATTCCAGTTTATAACTTGTTTTAGCTACGAGGCCACATAACGCAACCACACGATGCACTTCCAACGTTTCAACCTGGTGGATTTATAGTCTTGTTATGTGAACATCTCGGCTCTTTCCCGCATTCCTCAATGTGAGCAATACGAGCAACCTACCAAGAGGTTTTTCATTTGCTCATCATGATTTTTTAATGTTTTCACCCATTGCATTGCCTCTTTACACATGATACACAATTGTCCCATTAATCCACGCGTCGGGCTTGGAGAGTGGCATGGAAGAAATAATAAGGACAGAGTAGGAAAAGGAGATGAGGGCAGCCACGCGGGAAAGCGTTGCCTAGCCCACAAAGAAGGATCAACATGATGATTATACACGTTATCCGCAGGTGGAAAACCCCTCAGCTATTGTGCCGCAATACAGTTAAAAAGAAGAATTGCAATGGCACGCCGGCTGAGTCACCAGTGACAGATGGACATCATTCCGGAGAACTACCACCCGGTTATTGGGCCGCAAAAAGTCGTATAATGCCTATTAACTGAGATGGTGGTTGGAGCGAAAGGCTAGGCGGGAGGAGGAGGGACAAAGAAACTCACAACACAAACGCCACTGAGGTCGGCTCCTAGCCATATCAAAAAGTGTACCCGGTCAAACGTGTTCATCGTCTTTCGGACCCAACATGGGAGCCCAGAAGCTGCAAGCAAAGTCAACTTTTACTTATGAATGGAAGGATTTTAGTGAGTATTTTTGTTCGTCGCAATCAGCCGATAATACAGATATGTCGACCAGCTATCCGGAAAAGCACCAGACGGCCGTTTCGCCCTATTGGGGCTCATCAGTGGTGCGCATCCTTCGATCCTCTGCGGAGGATCGAACCCATGACTGCTAGTGGCGCTTGCCAACTAGCCCGCAGCTTATGCAACTGCGCCATGGAGGACGGTATCTGACTATCATGAATTGTTAGCTGAATGCGGTATAGCCCGACGCATCCTCCACTGCCATGCAGGCACCTGCCATGCAGATGACAGCGGTCGGCCTTCCGGCGTCAGGACTTCCCGGTTACGGCAGCTATGAATCGACATAGCATTTTGTGGAATCCGTACGGGCCTTCGTTTTTCCTTACCAAGTCATAACTTGGCCATCTCTCCTCTTCTTCCAACAACACCCCCAGTGCGCAAACCACGAACGTTGGGCAACACGTTGCCAAGCCATTGGAGCCTGGTGCGTGATATAACGGTGCCGAGCGCTACACTTCTTCTTTTTGTGCCCTAAACTAGGCGTCCAACACGCTCATTGCTCGCATGGCGTTCCCACCAGATTTGAGCCAAACTGTGAAGGCACCGGTTGTTCAAAGTCGCAAGACTGACGAAACGAGTTCGAGAAGAAGCACCATGGTGAATAATAAGTGAGGAGACTATGGCAAAACCAAAACGCAGTTATGAAAATTGTACCGCGGCCTTGTCCCTGGTTAGATTGCGCATAGGATCCACAAAAGAAAAGTGGTTGTGGTCCAATGCTGGCCCCGGGATCTTCGCGTAATCTCATGCGCCAAATGATGGTCGGCGGGAATACAAAAGAGAGGAACGCCTTGAAGACAGTTACTCGGCTGTTAATACAACGGCCGATAGATGGTAGCGCAGAGAGCAGCGATAGTATACATTAGCTCCCACGCCTCGGGGGATTTGTGCAAGTGCGCTTGAGTTCAGTACTATGACTGTAACCGACAAACATTACAGGGCAAACAGTGTGATGACGACTTAAGACATCGTTCTTTATATGAATTTTGTTCAAGGCAGAAAGTACACAAATTTTACGAATAGTGCAGAAGTGCCTACTCGTTAGAATCATTTGTCGGTCTATTGTGAAAAGGTCACTTGCAATTGAGGTATCCAGCTGGACAGGGTTTACACCTAATAATGAGGGGGTTCTATTATATCCCAATTTCGATGTGAATATGATCGCGTAAGTGTAAAAACAGAAAGATGTCTGCATAAAAGGAGATTATGGGGAAAGCAGATGAACAGGGATGAACTCACAGTGACGCGCCGGGGGAGCCAAGGGGAGAATAAGCTGTGACAGTCAAACCAACTGACTGTGCGTATGCAACCAAATTAGAATTCGGAAAATTGGCATGAACCTCAATCTGCAGATTGACGGGGCGGATTCGACAATGCTTCAGTATCAAATCGATCTGGCGTCGATTGAAATTGGATAACCCGATAGACTTCACCAAACCGGCATCAACCAGTTTCTCCATCGCCTGAAAAAACAAGAACGAAAGGAAAGGCTCGACTCGTATTCTGCATGGAAGGCTACCAGGATTTGCAGCCCAGATGCTGGAAGGGGAAAAGGATTTCATGCTCAAGACACTGGAAAGCAACCCGTACCCAACTGCTTTCATCAAAACGCATTTTCAGCTACGGACGGAGTCTGAGGCATAAATGACCGTAAGGAGAAAGGACGTTTTCCTCTCAGTACCTTTCAGAGGGGATATACAGTTGGTGCCCTTGAGTAAGAAACTGACTTCCGAGTTAAACCAAACGTAGCCGGCCGCAAGAGTCTGCAGCCCCGCTGAAACCGTTCCGCTCATCACTCACCGCTCAAAAGACGATATTCCGGCCCAGTCCGAATCTTTTGTTCTATATCAGTTCACTTGCACCTATGGTGCGAGGTACCTAAGACACACGACCAGACGTCTGTCAAAGCGGATAGCGGGAACACTGTCCCGCCTCATTACAACGTGGTACTACTATGAATGTCCACAGCTCCATGTTAGAAAACCTAATAGACAGTGAACATGGCATAGAAACGAAAGATGCTTTCAGTACAGGGTATGTGGCATCAAAACGATGCGCAAAGGAACTCAGAAAGCGCCTATTGTTCTCAGCAGAAGTCACTGCGATCAAGCGACTTAAGCCGGAACTAGGTAAGCAGCGAGTACTTGTACAAAGTTTGACACTAACTTGGCCCTAGCCTAGTCAGCTGACTCCAGGCATAATGATCAATGGTAGTGGGTTTAAATCGAAATACATTGCTACCATTATTCCGGTCGTAGCACATACGTCGGATCGCTACATCGCTAGCAATAGCCTCTATTCTAATGATTATGAATTTCATAATTGTAAGTGCCTGACGAGATTTAACGAAAAGAAATTTCTTCGCATTTTCCCTTCTAGACTATTTTGACGGAGCACACAAGTTGCCAACTGTTACGTGTTCAACCAATGATCGCTCACTATGACCGTGAACCTGATTGGCCCTACACACACACGTAGATAAGCACGCACACACGCACTCAAGGACACACCCTAACGTTCCGTGCTCACATGTAAACCGTCAAGTGTTCAGTATACTGTGCGCCAGACTGACGCGTCTTCTTACTTATTCGCTACGAGTTGAAATACGTACTTGCGGTTAGAGTCCAGTTGTGATATCTGGCGACCAGGTCAACATGTCCATGACAAATACTCCACCGGTATTCTGGTCGTGCTCTACCGACAAACCTTCCCTGGACTCGTGTCATAGATGGCGGAAAACCTTTACGGATTACTTGGAATTGCTTCCAATCTTGAATCCAGCAGTATCTCTTACTGAGAAAAACAAAGTGTAGCTCTTGAGACAGTTTCTTGGAGATGAAGGTCAAAGGTATTTCGATGCACTTCGTATTGATCAAATCTCTTCTACGATAACCGGCGCTTTGGAAACCTTCAGTGCTCTTTGGGGTGCTCGTCAGAATGTTTTTACGGCTAGATACTACTTCTCGAAACTCTGCCAGAAACCAGATGAGAGTGTGAACGAGTTCATCGCTTGTGTACTACAAGCAGCACCTGATTGTAAATACAATGACGTCGATCCAACGAGATTTGAAGAGACCATGTTACTCCAATGTTTGACAGCCGTAATCGCAGACCAGAGCACGCGGGAGAAGCTCCTTTCACAAGATGATTGTTCAATGACCTGGGAGACGGCCTGCTCGATTGCCCGGCAGAGGGAACACCTTACACAACAACTCGCAACAGTTACGCTGAAGGACTCGTCAGATGAGCTGCGATTGATTAACACTACACCAAAACCAAAGCCACCCACTGGCGTCAATTTGTTTGTGTGCTATCGTTGTGGTGAGCAGCACAGTTGTCCATCCGACTGCCGGCATCAGAAGACAGTATGTCGAAGCTGCGGAAAGGTGGGCCACCTGGCGCGAGTGTGTAGATCGGTCAAGCGACGTTCAGGTGGGGCTTATCGAGGAGCAAACCCCATCAAAACTGTGGACGATTCTGATGGTAGCGACCCTGAATCACATTCCATTTGGCTTAATTCCGTTTCTAGCATGCAGCCGGCGCCATACACTCTAGAGCTTTACATTGAAGGACAAAAGGTACAGATGGAAATCGATACAGGAGCATCCGTGACGATAATCCGGAAAACGCTGTAAAAACGCTCCCGAACTTATCCGCTTGCAATTCTGTTCTTCGTACATACACCGGTGAACCTATACGTGTCCTTGGTAAATGCTTCGTGAAGGCACAGTATGGCGACAATATACGCACACTTCCTGTATATGTGATCCCCGGGGATCGTCCAAATCTGCTTGGAAGAGACCGGATACGTGTTTTCCCGGATACAATGCATGTGGTAATATTAGTCACCGAGATCTCCGGACTTGAATTATTACTTAAACAACGTTCAGCTGTTTTTTTCCGAGGAGCTTGGGAAGTTGAAAGAATTTCAGGCTACGATAAAACTAAAGGAAGGCGCTCGACCAAAATTCATTAAGGCGCGCACACTACCATACGCTATGAGGCCTAAAGTTGAAGAGGAACTAAACCGCCTACAGACTCAAGGTATTATTACTCCTGTACACTTTTCTGACTGGGGAACTCCAATTGTGCCAGTAACCAAACCGGACGGCTCCGTACGGATTTGTGGTGACTACAAGATAACCATAAATCAAGCATCCATGCTGGTCAGGTACCCCTTGCCACGTATTGATGACTTGTATGCAACACTAGCTGGTGGTGAAAAGTTTACCCAACTCGATCTGAGTCATGCATACTCGCAGATAGAGCTCGATGAACCTTCGAGGAAACACTACCATCACCACACACATGGGACTATTCCAATATACTCGTTTACCTTTTGGCATTAATTCCGCCCCTGGAATACTTCAGAGAATTATTGACAACCTAGTGAAGGACATTCCTTTTGCGTGTGCTTATCTGGATGATATTCTTATCTCTGGACGCTCGGATACAGAGCATCTTCAAACACTCGCGGTCGTGCTCGAGCGTTTGGAGCGAAGTGGATTCAGATTGAAAAGGTCTAAATGTGAGTTCCTTTCACCTTCCGTTTGTTACCTTGGATACCGGCTTGATAAACACGGTTTACATGTTTTAAATGACAAGGTTAAACCTATTTTAGAAAGCCCAGAGCCAAAGAGTTGTGATGAACTCCGTTCGTGCTTAGAAATGCTATCTCACTATCGCCGTTTCCTGCCTAATGCATCGACGGTTCTATCGCCATTAAATGAGCTGTTACACAAAAATGCATCGTGGTGTTGGGGTTCCCGTCAAAAAAATGCCTTCAATAAAGCAAAACAAGCTCTTGCTTCGTCACCAACGTTAGTCCATTATGACTCTAACAAGCCACTCATACTTCAGTGCGACGCGTCCCCTTGGGGGGTCGGGGCTGTCCTGTGCCACCGCATGGACGATGGTTCTTTACGTCCCATAGCATATGCATCGCGCACCTTACAGACGGCGGAGAAGAACTACTCACAACTAGACAGGGAAGCGCTGGCCGTTATCTTCGGAGTTAAGAGGTTTCACCAGTATTTATGGGGAAACGTTTTCGAGCTTCATACAGACCACAAACCATTGATATCCTTGTTTGGGGAAACCAAAGGTATACAACAAATGGCATCACCGAGGATGCAAAGATGGGCTATAACTTGAGTGCTTATAGTTACAAGATTGTTTATATTACCGGCGTCAGCAACTGCACAGCTGATGCACTCAGCCGTCTGCCGATCACGGAAACTGCACATGAACACGACCCACCGTTTGAACTGGTTAATCTAATGCAACATCTAGACACAACACCGATACGGAGTTCAACAATCCGTCAATGGACGGATCGAGACCCCGTGCTATCAATGGTGAAACGCTTTTTGAACATGGGTTGGCCTCCTGAAGGGACAGTTGAATTACAACCGTTTGTGATTCGGAAGAATGAACTGAGTCTATTCGACGGCTGTGTTTTTTGGGGCTCTCGTCTAGTCCCTCTCACCAAGGCGCGTTCACAGATACTTAAAGAGCTCCATGATGCTCATCCAGGTGTGGCGAGGATGAAGGCACTAGCGAGAGGGTACTGCTGGTGGCCCAACATCGACTCAGACATAGAGAACTGAGAACTGGTGCGAAGCAGCGAGTAGAGGTTTCTCTGTGTAGCTGCATCATTCATCGTTTTCGGACATGAACTTTTTATTTATCGTTTCGCTCTTTGTACTTTGCCTCTGCAAATTGTTGGTCTAGTAGCATCTTGAATTTAGACACGGTGTTCGCTTCTACTATATGCTGAGGCAGGTCGTTCCAGACATTCACCACTCTGCGTTCGAAACAGAGTTGATGGGCGACCCGCTTCAAATCCGGGACGATAAGTTTATACCGGTGTCCTCGCGTGCAGCTTGGTGTGCGCAGATGAAGTAGTTGTCTCAACATGGGGTAATCACCCAGATGTAATATTCGGTGCGTCATGATGAGGTCAACCCTCAGCCGACGATAAGATAGGGTGTATAACCCTAGTTTCTTACATCGGTCTTCGTATGGCATACCTCGTAAGTTGGGAATCAGCCTAGTGGCTACATGCTGCACCCGCTCAAGCTTTTCTACTTCGCCCCGGGTGATGGGACAGTATGCGGGAGTGCCGTACTCTAGCATTGGTCGTATTATCGAGACGAAGAGGCGAGTGGCAATCTCTTCGGACCAAGTGCTAAAGCTGCGCCTGAGAGCCCAAAGCATACGAAGGCTGTTTTGGTACAGCCTATTCGTGTTGTCAATGGACTTTAGGTCGCAGCGTGAGAGTACACCGAGGTCGCGCACGAAAGGAGCGGGATGCAACGGTTGTCCAGCCACTGTGTACGTTCGGCCGTGATCACACTTACCCAACCTCATGAATTGCGACTTGGCAGGGTTGATCGGAAGGTTAACCTCTGCAGACCATGTTGAGAGGCGGTCGAGATCCTGCTGAAGTAAATCGCAATCA